GCCGCTAGCGGCAGCGGGGGCAGCAGGGGTGGGGAATAGGACGCAGTATACGGCCCTTGACATCTAGCTTTTCTGGTGCAAGTCAAAAATATTTTTTATTTAAGAATAAGGGTGAGGAAGGTGCACATCCATTAGCAGGTGTGCGAACGTGGCAGGACGTTAGGCGTGCTGTCCTTTCCTAGGCATGGTGCAGCCAGCATGCACGGCGTTCAGCTGCCGCTCCTTCAGCCAGTCTTGCAGGAGAAACTGGAGTGCAGGAAAGAAACAAGGTAACAGGGAAAGGCATGGGCAGTGCAGCGAGAGCGCAGGTTCTGATCTGCACTGGAAGTTGAGCTATTGTTTAAAAATAAAATATATTTGTTAGCTTAGGCTCCTATGTTAATTTTCATTCTGGCTCCCCCAAAACGTACAGCAATTTGGTGCTGCTGAGAAGCAACTGGCCTGAATAGCAGAGCTTGTTCTGCAAGAATAGCCCCAGTCACTTGATTTCATAAAGTGTTATTCAATCTGCAATTGTTCCTGCTATTTCAAATGAGATGAGAGAGCAGCCTCCTGTTCCCATATGGAGCTTTTGTTTAAGCTGTATCTTCAGATGTTTCCTTGGAGAATTTCATGCTTTACCCCTTCAAGCACATATAGCCATACAGAAACTAGCTGAATAATAAATAAATATGCAAGGCTTTCAAGCTGTCTTGTTCTAAAACTTTCTCTACATTTTGAAATTGATGGGGCGGATCTCATTTGGTTTTTTGTGGCTACCCAGAGGGTTCTCAGTTTTGGTTTTTTTTTTTTGCCCTCGTAATTACATCTTTAATACAGATACCTACCACTTCAGTCTTTCCCTTTCACTGTAGGAGAAACCCAAACAAGCCACCTTCCTTCAGCTTATTACTTGTTTGATGTATTTTCTTCATAGCCTGGCTACGTTACACTCTTGATTTGCTCCTGGTTTTCCTGTTTTTGGAGCGAAATGTTGACTTTTTTTACTTATGTTAAGTAAAAATATTTGCAAGGAGAAGAGGGCTTTACAGTTAGTCAAGATATTCTCAGTGTAGCTATCACATTGATTTTTAAAAAATATATTGATTACTGTCTTTCTTCCAGCAGTGCAGTTTTGCATTCTTGAGTGCAGAACTCCTTTGGTTCTTGAGCAACAGCAGGAAAGAAGAAATTCTCCCCTTTCTTGGCCTTCGCTTCAGCTGGAGGAAGGCTATCTACTTTTTTTCACCCCTTTTCCACATAACGCTTCTGATTATGTTAGGCTGAAAAGCGCCTAAGTGGGTGGAAACTTATGAAGAGACTAGACCCCTTCCCTAGTTGACATAGCCTCCTACCCTGGGCTTAAGGGATGAGAAGTGAAGTTCAGTTGCAGGAGGGGCAATCATAATGGGACACAGGGAGCACAAGGAGTAGGTTTGTCAGTGGAATAGTTCAGGATCTGCAGCCTTAAGAGCTTATATGGTGTGAAGGGGGGAGAATTGGTTGAGTTATTCTGCAGGCATATCCTTACCCCTCTGTGTGGGGGTTCGTGGAGCCACTCAAGCAATGAAGCAGCCTTGGGGAGAGTACACTTGCTCTCTGAAGTGCCCTTACTGAGTGATCTGCCTGCCCTGTCAGACTCTTACTTCAGCTGCTGTGTCCAGCAGGCCTGCTCTGCATGCATCTTCCCCCAGGCCCTGCCTTGTCTGTAGCCTGTGAGCAGGCTCTACTCAAAAGCAGGAGAAATGGAAGGAGGTAAAGGTGGGGAGTGCGGTGCCCAGTCTGCCAGCAGTGTAAGTACTTGCTTGTTTTGGAACTAGCTCAGGTGGGAGATCAGAATAATAAAGGAGCCAACACTTATGTGAGCTGACAAGTTCTCACACCGCTGCCTCTGAGCCAGTAGACCTTTTTAGCCAGCATACATCCCTCTGTGAGGACAGCTAGACTACTTGAAGAGCCATCTTAGGTACCTGCATAGCACTCCCAAGGCTCTAAGATTTGAGGTATCCAATGCAGCTGTGCCAGTGACCCCATCCCTTCCTCATCCTATTACAATGACACTTCCTTCCAGGGAAAGCCATGTCAAGCAAATGAGAAATTCTCTACACTACTGTGTGGTGAAAGCAAGAAGCTGGGCCACATTGCCAGCCATGCCCTCCAGTGAGGGGAGCTGGAGACCTCTCAGAGCTAATCCTCTCTGAAGCTTGTCTATTCTTGAAACCTTTAACTTCTCCCACTCAGTTCTGCCAGTGTAGTCTGTACTCTCCTAGACCTGCATCTCTGCAATTTTATAGGGCTTAACGCACTCAACTTGGCTGGGCCTAGCCTATTGAACAATTCAGATGATTTATCACTTTAATATCTTTGCCAATATCTATACCATCTGCAAAGCTTCTGGTCTGATTTTATATTTACTTTCATCTGTTTCATGAATAGGTTGATTAGTCTTGGATTATGCAAGGGATTGGTTGTAGCCCCAGCTGAAACCTCTCCTTTCCATTATGTACCATCTTCATCTGTGGACTGTGCCCACTGCCTGTGGAGGTCAGCACGGGCAGGAGCGGGAGATGCTGACTTCCCCCTGCTTCAAGGAGGTGCTTCCTGGGTCCCCAGTATTGCGGCAGACTCCTTGGTGTGCAGCACTGGTGGCAGAGAACAGCCTCTAGGCTAGGGCCAGCCAGAAGCATTGGGCTGCAGGGGATGTATGGAGCTTGTGCAGCTGAAAGGGTTTGCTTGGCTCCCTGCCCCTTACAAATAAAGGAGGCAGTATTCTCTGCTCCATGCCATGGAAATATGCATGTTTAAAATCCTGGCCAAGCGATCTTGCCCAGCAAACTGGGGGGCTGAAACATGTGCTTCCCAAGAGGAAGAGATGACAACCAGTTTAAGACAGAGGAGCAGTGGAAGGCAGTAGTTTGTTTGTATGTTCCTGAGACTGCCCTGCGCATCAAGATAATATTCATGAGTGAGGAGCTGTCAGATGGTACTGTGGGGCTCTGGGCATTGTGGGCTGCTTGCAGCTTTCAGCTCTGTCCTGGTTTTCTTGTAGTGCCATTGGGACGCATCGGTCCTGGAAGTACGTGGTCTCTGTTCTCTCTACAAAGGGATTTAGGCAACTGGTGTGTGATCGAACCATCTACTTTCACCCCATCACCAAGCTCTGGGGCTATTTATTTGTGCTGAGCAAAGTCCTGGAACTGGATGAGTCTCAAACTTCTCCTTATTCAATGTATTCACAATTCCTTTCCTCTTCCAAGCAGTCTTTTTACAGGTATCTGTCTAAATGTTACCCCAAGAATGGGACTGTTTAGCCTAGCCTGTGCTGCTCATTTTCTTTCTCCCTGCTGCTCAAACCAGATAGCATGTTCTCTCTCTGTGGGGCCACAGCCTGATGTTACTGCTCTGGTTTGATTCCCCTAGCCTAGCGCCTGGAACAGGCAATTCTGCAGTGAGCAGATTGTGGTGAGGTGGCTACAGGCAGGCAGGGGAGGCTGGTGAGGAAAGGAACAGCTCACTAAGACTTTCTTAACGTTGAACCTGCAAGAATTTTCATTCCTGGAGTAGAAACTTGCTGGAAATTTTGTGGCAATGTTTTTGGTGGGAAGTGTCAATTTCGTTAGAAGCAAAAGTGCTTGCAGCAATGCATAGGGTTTGAATGCGTCAGTGGAAAGTTTCTTCCCTGCAAACCACTCCAACATAGTCTGAGGTCTAGTGTGCTCAGAGCAGGCACCATCCCGGAGTCAAGGCTGGTTGTCTTGAAACAGAGCAGGGATTTATGAGTTCAGTAACCAAGTTGTTGGCTCTTACAGGTTGTCATTTGAAGTCACTCCTGATGAAGTTGTTCTGCTCTGTTACATACAGACTAGGCAGCCTAGGAGGGTCATGTTTAAACTAGAAAATGTGAGAATTGATATGAACACATCTTCCACTCCCAGCTGAGTCCTTGAACAACCTATAAATGCAAAACAGGAAAAATATCCATGAGCAGAATTGCTTCTTTCTACCCAGTTTTCCACATGAAAAAGTACTGTAGAGCTGGTTGGAAGTGCTGTGTGAGCAAAGCTAAATAAGCAATGCTGGGGCATGGGGCACTCATACCACAGATGCACCATTAGATGAGTGCCTACAAGGGCTTTATCGATATAGACAAATCTAACATGACCCTAGCTTCTGATGAGAAGCCAAATAATGGCTTTAGCATTCCAGCTCAGTCATTCTGCCTTGACTGAAAACTTATGACTGCTGTGCTTTTACCTGACTAACAATGCATCTCTTTCTCAAGGTGACACTGTGTTCATTGTTCTCCGGAAACAGAGGCTCATCTTTCTCCACTGGTACCACCATGCTGTTACACTGATCTACAGCTGGTTTGCCTATAAGCAGATAGTACCAGGCTGCAGCTTGCTCATTACCATGAACTTCACTGTCCATACTTTCATGTACTCCTACTACGCCATGCGAGCAGCAGGCTTTTGGGTACCCCGCTACATCGCTATAGCAATCACCTTTTCACAGATCCTGCAGATGCTGGTAGCTGTGATAGTGAACATCTTACTCTTCTTCTGGATGGAGAAAGAAATCTCCCATGCTGTCTGGTCAGGTGTTTTCTTTTCATTTGTGATGTACCTCAGTTACTTGGTGCTCTTCTGCAACTTCTTCTCCAAGACTTACCTGACCAGTGCCAAGAAATCAAAGGGGGAATAAAACTAGGGAGGCAGGAGGTGGCTGGGGTGATGGGAAGGGGATGGAAAGAGGAAATTTTTCATTCCTGTCTGGAGCTTGATGCCTGATGGGACTGGTGTGGTGAGGCTTAGGAGGAAGTCACTCTCTGGATGAATACCGTCAGATGAACTTGTGCATTGGCCTTTGGTGAGTATGCCTTGGAACGGGTGACTCACCAGAGTGAGGTGCAGGTTGTCACAGGCTGACAGTGTGAAGAAAGGGGAGAAAGTAGAGGGCTGGAGATCTCAGAACCGATTCTGCTTTTTCCGTGTTATTTTCCTTTTCCATGCACCAGTCAGGTTTGCAGTGTGCATTGCATTCCTGAGTGCTTGGATCCTGCATGCCACAAGTTTATTCTTGGGAAAAGGTAGGGGAATTCCTCCCAAAAAAGCACTAACTGCTCTGTGGTCCCCCATCCTGGGAGGACCTTGCTCCTGTGTGTGCCCACAGGGCTTGGGGTGAGATAAGGTGTCAGTAGGAACAGCACTGAATTGGAAAATCCCTGCTCTCTTTTAAAGATGTGATGAGCAGCCAGCCTGCTCGCCCCGGTCTGGTTTGGGCTGTGTTGCGGTGCCGCCATGGCTCCCTCGCCTCTGCTGCTTCACAGTCTGGGCAAGGGTACTGCGAAACATGGGCAGGGGAGCCTAAAGTCGAGGCCACCTCTCCTTGCTGACCAAGGGCTGTCCCAGCTGGCACTTGCCTATGCTGCACAGGTAGCAGAAGGCTGGCAGGACACACTGGGAGGAGGCTCGCATCCCAGAGCCCTGCAAGGGGCTCAGCAGGGTCCTTCCCAAGTGCCACAAGCTCAGCTGAGCTCACCGAGAGGGCCCTGGGTGAGGAGCTGAGTGGTGGTGGCCCCAGCAGGCAAATCCCAGCTTCTGGCTGCAAGAGCACAAAACTTTCAGCTGAGAAAGCAACATTACAAATGTGGACTGTATGAAAGCAATGCCTTGAGCTCGTGCCTTACTTGGCCTAAGGTAAATGCTAAACCTGTTGACACCAGTTTAAATGTTACCTCCTGCACTGCTGATGCAACTAGGAGCTTCAGGGTAATGGGCTTATCCAGAAAAGAGTGCCAGAGCTCTGTCTTGAGTCTCTCTCTGTCTTTCTCTCCCTCTCTGGCTGCTGCCTGACCTTTGCTCACTTCCAGTGCAGGGCTCTGTGGCACAGTGAACTGTGTTCAAAATTAAATACATTCTAATGGTTGTTACCTTGAGTCTGTCATTTATATGGTATTAAACAATGTATTTAACTTGACTACCTGCTGCCTCAAACTTCAGGGGTTGACTAGAGTCCAGGTGTGGTTTACCTGCAGATCACCTGCAGCCTTGCCTACAGTTGCAGCTGGGGGTGGAGGCAGAAGGGCTGGGGCCTGTGCAACAGCTTGGCTGCAGAGCGAGCTGCTCGGCAGTGAAATACAAGGGTGCCAGAACCAGGCCAAAAACTATTCTCAGTATGCATTTGAGAACTGCCACTGTGTGACGTACAAAAATAATTAATAAATGTGGTCGTGCATGGGTGGTTTTCCTTATTCACTGCCTTTTTCATACCTGACCTTCGCTCTGAATTGGCAAAGAAGCATTGCTTTCTCCATTTCAATCCTGCGTCTTCCTGAGGGTTAGTAACAGCAAGGCGTCCAGGAACTCCGTCCTGCCGTGCTTCCCCCTTCTGCAATCGTTGACAGCTCTTCTGCATTACTACATGGCCTGAGACCCTTTACTCTTCTCTAGAGAAGTGAAAATGAGAGGTAGATAATAATAAATTAAGCTTTTGTTTGACCATCTGAACTGAACATGTGGTCACTTGAAGGTGCTCTGTGCTATGCAAAGCCAAGGCGAGCCTCAGACTACTTTCCCCACCCTATGATTTGGGTTGTAGCTCCTAGGCCCTCCTTGTGGCTGCCTGCCTTTCCATGCAAGCTGCTAGGGCAGTAAGTGTTTTGCACGGGGCAAAAACCACCCCACCATAAGAGGAGCTTGTTGAGCATGAGGGTTTTGCAGGGATGCTCTCTTCCACCTCTGAGAGACATCACTGCTTTCCCAACAGCCATGTCCCTCCTCCCTGAAGGAGGTACCATGTTTCCAGCACTGCCCACAGGCTCTTCTTATCCCGATCTGCCCTATGCCCTCCCTAGGGAATGCATACAGTGAGCCCAGCTTCAGTTCTTTTGCCCTGCCGTTCTCTGTGGCTAAACAAGAAATAACAATAAATTGCCCTGATCTAGGTTTTGGAAGACTCTGATTTCTTGTATGTTTTATATTGCTGCTTCTGCTCCTTCACGAGGTGCCTGAAGTAATGAACGGCTGGTATGAGGAAATGGGCAATGCTTGCTGTAGGGAGCTAATAACAGTGTCCTTTCCCAAGTCAACGTTATTTCCTTGAAGCTTTGTGGAAACAACTCCTCCTGGTAGTCTATGAAGAAGAAATAAAGTCTCTCTTTTACATTATGGTTGAGCTGAAATAGCCAACAATCCTGTTATGGAGGAGGTGTATCCTGAACTCTTAACTATTTTGTTTCTTTTTTCCTTTGAGGGCACAGACAGAAATTACTCGCACCTTTTTTGCAGTAGTCACTGCTCAAGCAGGTCAGGTGACCTTCTCTCTGGGGAAGCAGATGGGAGAGCAGCTGAGGGTATCTTTCAGGCCCCCCATGCAGCTGGAGCAGCAGAGCTTGCGGGAGGCAGGAGGAATGGAGGGGAGGAGATCTGGCACAGGCAGCGCAGAGGACATGCTGTTGAGAGAAAGACTACAAGGGCATGAAGAAATGGAGCCCTAGGCTGCAAAAGGTGGGTCTGAGAGACTGCAGAGCCAGGGAGAGGCCGGGGGTGCCCGAGGGCAGAAGGACTTGCCAAGAGGCTCTTCCCAGCCACTGCCAGGGAGGAGAGCACCGTCCCTGCCCTCCCAGCCGGCTGGTGCCGGGACGGGGTTGGTACAGCCCCTGGCAAAGATGTGGGGACTGCAGTTCACCCCTCAAGCTTTAGGATGTATCTTTGGAACGAAGTCTTGTTTTTGCCCTGTTCCTGGGTATTTGAGGGTTATTTGAATGTCAATCTCCTTTTGCCCTTTGATGATTTCTAGGGATTTGGTGTGTGTGTGTGGGGGGGGGGTTATTCCACCTTTTGGTGGGTGCAGGCTCCAGGCAGGGGACGACATCTCCCTGGGCCACCTCAGGGCCCATGGATTTGGTCTCTGGTGCGTTTGGGGAGCTGTCCCAGGTGAAGGCTGACTTCTGGGGCTGCAGGGACAGCCCAAAGTTGTCCTGGGTGGAAGCAACCGCTAGGTGACACCATGTCACCTGGTTTTACAGGTAGTCTTTGTGGGCCCTGCCCAGAGCTCCCAGCCCCTGCTCCCAGCTTGGGGTGGGGGGGCCAGGGTGCTCCCCATTGCCATCCCTCCCTCCTGGCCTTTTCCACCCCTTACCCCATGACTGGCGTTCAACGCAGCCTCCCACCACTCTGCCTGGCCCCGCGTGCACCAGCACTAGGGCACTCCATTTCCCAAGGGTCTCCTCCCAAAAATGGCCACCTTCCCACAGCGTACCATGCCCCACAGCAGAGAGGGAGTGCCCACAAGGAGACTGAGGCCGTCCTGCAGGACCAGGACTGACTGATACATCTCCACTGCTGTGGACAGGGCTCTGCCTTCAGTGCTGCCCTGTTTCTTCACATCCTTGCCTCCTCTGTGCTGTTGTGGCTCCTGCAGGCCTCCCTCCCACAGTGCACAGGCTCCCTCCCCAGCCGTCTGTTTGTGCTTGAAGCCTGGCCCTGGCTTGCTGGCACCAGAGGCTGAAGACCTCCGTTTGCAGTAGGCTCATCAACATGTCTACCACCGAGCTGGAGGAGAAATGGGACCTGAAGGGCTCCAGTGGGATGTAAGAGCACTCTTT